GTTCCCCCGCGCCCCGCACCCCCCTCAGAGCTCCCGAGTTAGAACCGCCCTACTATACCTACTGACACTTGTTGATTCCAACCGACTTCTTTCCTCCCCCATAATCTCGACCAATCCAAAATCCCGAAAGTCATCCCACCACCCAAATTTGAACCCCACTAATTAGGAAAAACCGCTATATAAATCACGGTTCCGCGGTCCTCAGCGTCTTTTCTGCCCTCGGCTTTTTAGTCTTCTTTTGCTTTTGCTACCGTCTTCTTGCTGAGGCCATCACAGTACAGTTCTCAAAGTTGGTCGAGAGAAGCTACCCAGCTCATATAAAACAGATCGAGTCAGAGTCTCGGGTGACTCCATTATTATTAATTGAAATAAGTATTAGAATCAGTGACTCGAAGCCCCGAGGTCTCAACTACCAGCCGACCACGAAGTTTCTGAAGCCTCGTCACAGACTCAGCAGACCTGATCAACCAGTAAGTGAACGTCGCCCCTTTTTTCCCTTTTATCTCTTTTCTTCTCACTCCACTCACTACTTTCAGGAACTCGCGTCCGGTTTTGTTCCTATAATTGTTCTATTGTCCTTAATTGTTTTCCCTTTAAATTTCGATATATGAACCTTGCAGTGCGTTCAGACGGAACCACCGGTCGTCCCCTTCGTCGTTCGGTCATAACGTACGTCCGGACGACCCGCAGAACGGCACGTATTAGGGCCAATTTCCCGGAGGCTCGTCAGTTGCCGAATCATACCACCGTAGCTTCGCCGGTCGAAAATGACACAGTCATAGAATGATCACAACCAATTTTTTCTGTTCCTCCTCCTTCCCCTCCAATAGCTATTTCATACTCGCCAGTATCGAACCTTCTCCCTCTTCCCGATGAACCTTCTGCAATACCCGATTTCCAGTCACTATACCTGAATCCTTCCCCCGTCTTCGACGTCTATCTTCCTCCTTTAGACGTTCCTGTCAACCAACCCTCCCTCCTTTCATCTCTTCAACCACCATATTCCCACTTCATCACTTCCGTAGCTGATCTCCTGGCCTATTGGCTGCAACAACCTACAGATAACCCCCGAACCGCAGTAGTATACCTCAATGATACTTCTTTCCCGTTCACTGTCCCCGCTGAATATTTAACTCCCCTTACAGATTATTCCTCCCCTCTTTAAACGCTCCTTTACCTCCTTCTCCTTCTCCTTCTCTTCTCTTCAGAACACACACACACACGCTCACAATCAAACTAATTATATATATATATATATATATCTATATTACAATGTAATAACAATTCTTAATTTCAATTATATTACTTAATGCTCAAACCCTGATTGTTTTAATTTCGAGTAACACCTCCTCGTATTCCTTCTGTTAACACCAAGATTGCACTCGGTCCAATCTCCGGTCCTTTGGATTCAATTTCAAGGCCGAAAATAAGGGCATCGAACGCACTGGCCCCTACTAGGATAGAAGCGTGCCCTTAAGGCACACTGACCTAGTTCCCGGCCTTTAGCCTGTGCGTTTGCCTCGAGCGGCACTCAGCGGAGTGTCGATCTCGAGAGAGGCTTCCGTTTCGTCCTCCCTCGAACCCCCGGCTCTACCAAGTGGCCAAAGGGCGAAGCGAAGTGCTTCCCGTTGAGTCGGTCCCTCCCCTTAGCTCCCTTGCAGTCCGGAGCTGGGACTGACGATACGGCGTTTCGGTTCGCGTTACGTTCACCCCCTCAGGTTCCATGCATGCGGAACCTCGGACGTAACAGTAGCTTTTTTCAATTAATTAAATCATTTTTTTTTTTATTATGTACCCATTTTATTATCTAATAAAAAGTTTTTTATCGTCAAATTGAGACATTTGATTTGAGGATGTCAAAACCAAAAAGCGATATAATTTAGAACCTTTTTAAGAATAGAAAAAAGATTTTTTCCATCCTAAAAAACGTTTTATAATCCAATTAAATGCAACTTTTAAAGGCCCTGTAAGAGGTCCCAGGAAAGTTCCAATTGGATCTTGTTCTAGATGAACAGACCTACAATTTGAGGAGAGTAACGACCCATTTGTATGCTTAGAACCTTGCTAAAATCGACCTTGAACTCGAAATTTGGTCATTTTTTCACATTATATAATCGGGCTGTATTTTTTTAAGCATATATCATAAAACTAAATGAATGATTGCATTGTGTTCAGCGACCAAAAAAACATACAGTACCACATTTAAAATCCGAATTAAGCTGTTTTTGCATCAAATTGAACATGTATTGAGGAAAATCTAAACTTTGATTAAAAAATCGTCCACTAGCGACCTCTAAATCTTAATATACTTTGATAAAAATTTAAAGGTGTTCTTTTGGCATGAAATGGAAGCTTTTGAGCTGAGAGGCCGATTAAAAAAAATATTTTTCTTTTTCTTATCAGTCTAATGTGTATTTAGGTTTTATTGCATAAAAATGAAAGATGGTATCACTTGGATTCTTTATTTAATTTGGTATGGTTGGTAGGAAATTTAACTTGGCGATAGTTGTTGATATTAAATCTTTTTTATAAACGATACATGTCATTAAAGTTCAGTAAGCAACAAAGATAGTACCACTTAGTACTGCTTTTACTTTTTAGAATTTAACTTAATTAGTTAATACTGTAGCATTTGGGTTTTAATTCTTCATTTAGTACATTAGTTTTCTTCGAGGAATAATTTTTAACAGAGTAGTATAAATTGTATTATACAAGTGCACATACTCTTGCGTGCACGTGTAATTGTGTACGTATGTAAGTTTACTTATATAGAATTTCATACATGCTACTATCAGATATTAAACAGAAGAAGTCATTTAATACCTGTTCCAACTCCCGCAAAACGGCAAATATTATGGGCACCATCATAGCGGTGGCTGCGGTGTTTGACACCCACATCGATATAAAAGTTGTGACCACGCATAAACCACCAAGCAACTTTGCGTGGCTGCAACCAACCGTTTTCATGACTCCGAGAGCAATCCTAAGATGAAGATTGCTGTGCTCAATAGCGATAGCAAGGATTAAACCGCCGATGAATACCATTATTGTATCGTTCATGTAACAGGCGCATGTATCCGCCGTACTGAGTATACCCAAAGCTGGGAACATGACAATCGGGATGAGTGATGTTACTGCCATAGGAAAGCAGTCGGTAACCCAATAACCACCCATCAGTAATACTACATATGCACATCTAACTTCCTGAAAAAATCATTAAGTTACTTATTATTATGAAATTTAAACAAAATGTAAATTATATGCACTGTACTTAAGCTTTTTTCTTTTTTTTTTATAAAAAGTGTAGATTAAAATCCAGAATTTATAAAGAATTAGTAAATATAAAAAGAGATACGTTGATTTATATTCTAGAAAATATTACAGATAAGATATTAGAAACAAGATTTACAGAATCTAGTTATTTTTTTGCAAAATTGGAGAAAGATCTAAAAAATTCAAATTAATAAGGTTTAAAAAATGACATTAGGGTAAGTTGGGGGAATATATGCCATACTTAAGCGAAATTAGATTTTTTAGTAATTATTTGTTCAATTCAAAATAACTTTACATACTGATCTTTTTCTTCCATTCTTTATCTATTATTTGTGTATAATTGGAATTGAATATATTCATTTTTTGTTATTAAAAATAAAGAAATACGAAAGTGCTGAAAAATGAGTAATACGCCACTATGAGGATAAAATGTCACATACAAAAAAATACTGAGTATAACATTTATTTCGTTTTTTTATTGCAAGAACACATTATTAATGATTTTTATGATGAAAATAAACATTTGTAACATAATATAGGTAATATAAACAATATAAAGATATAAGTAATAACTTCGATAGATTAAGTTATACAACATGTAAAATAAACTTTGAGACGCGTTTTTAATAGCATAAATATATCTTTCTCCTCGTGAATCCATCTATTGCAACAATTAGATATTATCCAATTACATTTTAAGCCATTTTTAAAAGTAAAAGTATGTAATGTGTAAGTATGTAAAGTATAAATAAATATATATATATATTTGTTTTACTTTATATATATTTATATAGTAATTACAAGTATTCTAAGTTCCAGTAATCAAGAAAATTCAATTCATTAAAATGGATTAAAAAACTGTATTCTCTATTCAGAATTTTGAATTGAGCAGTAAATTAATATAATACAATAAAACAAATAAAAGCAAATAAATAAATATTTAAGTTTATTTATTAAGTATTTGTCAATACGAATATCCTGTCACAACGGAATTATGCGGCAAAATATTTGTTTATAGCTCCCTAACCTATATATTAGAGAAAATGACTACTGGCATTTTACCCTAACAAAAGTAGTGGCATATTGCCCCAAGACGTCATTTCATCTTATGATGAGCCTGTACAGTACGACTGTTAAGAAAATGAATCAACGATGTACTGAATATTTTCATTTTAATTTACACTAATAGATTAACAAGCTAATCGAGCTAAATATTGTGTAATGTTTAAATAATAACTTACATAAAGCACTATAAAAGTTATAAGAAGTACATTTTCGTATGCCATGCCGTCATATTTAACTCATAAGAACAATACTGTTGCAAAGAAATTCTTGATACTTATGCAACACGTTAAGCACACAATTGTAAATAATTCTGTGTCATTAACGCAAGCGCTGCTAATCGGTATCATTATTAAACACAACGAGTGGCATATTCTCCCATCTGATATATTCCCCTAACTTACCCTATATATAGAAAAATGGGAAAGAAATACCGAGTAATCATAAATCAAGGGAAAAGGTAAAAGAAAAAGTGCCCATAGAAGTGCAAAAATAATCTTCCAATAGATCTTGAAAAAGCGGCCCGTATTTCTTAAGCAGTCAATTAGATTCCTTAAATAATTGACAGGTTCTTCTCTCCTTTCAGACCTAATCGTAAAACTGGTTATTAAATCCTTTCATTGCATGTAGATTCATAGCATAAGGTTGCGCTTACAAAGATGATTCTTAAAAAGAGACCGATTTTTGCTCAAAAAGATGTAAATAAGAGGAATAGTGTTATTGTAGATTTTGACAAACTGAATATAATAAAATTATTAAAATGTTTATAGCATTTTGGGAACACTTTGAAAATTGATCACGAACATAAATATGTATCTAAATTTATATCTTAATTAATTTTAGAGGTGTTTCCTAAATGTATGAACTTTTTAAAACTTTATTGTATCCACAGGAGGTCAAAATCTACAAAAAATGTTATTTTTTATTTAAGTTTCTTATTTAGCAAAGAATTTTTTTAACATTCTCCAAAAAAAAAACAAATTTTTGACTATAGAAAACACTATTCTTTTTACTTACACCTTGTTGGTAAAAAGAGCAAAAATTAACTCTTTTTTAACATCTTCCTTTGACATATTTAAATATAAATACAGTTTACTGCAAAAGCTTACACAATTCAATAAAAAGCTGAAAGATAAAAATAATCAATTTTGTGTATGGTATTTTTATGTTGAATGTAATTTAATCTGAATATAATGTAATTTGAAAAATATTGTAATGCGTCAAAATTTTGTGGAAAACTTACAATTAAAATTAGAAAACATTATTTTGTACGTAATTTACGGTATTATACTTATACAGTAAACTATAATTTGTGATGATTTCCGAAATAAAATATTAATACAAAATATAATTCAAATATTAATTTTTTGTAATATATTAACTAGAGCGAGATATTACAATGTCGCCTGATAAAAAGTAAAATACTGTCAGTATATCTGAATGTATTTAAGTAATGATTGCGTTCAGGAGTTGAGTGAGCGCTGATTTTTTAATATGACTGGTTCTTGCCTTTAGCTCTTCGCTGAATTCAAGTGTAGACACCAATTATAATAAAAAATTGCTGAATGGTTGTTAATGTAAGTAGCTTTGTCTCTTAAATGCAGTCATTGGCTGCATTTAGCAGCAATAAAAACTGATCAATAAGCGCTCAGTGATTCCTCAATATGATTCTTTAATATGATTTCTACACTTAGATTCAGCGAAGGCAAAAACAAATTATATAAAAGAATCACTGAATGCTCGCTTATAAGTTTTCTCTGCTGAAAGCAGCTGTTATTCAAATATACTCAAATATACTCAATTGGTATTCTATTTCCCGTTATTATATGGTAAGAAATTAATACCTAAGTTATATTTCATTTTGTTATACTTTATTTTGTAAATTGTCAGGTTTTTGTAATTATATTATAATAATACATATTTCATAATAATACACTAAAAATATTTATTTCATTTAAAAACATGAGTCTTACATTACAAAAGATAATACATGAAGATATTATATAAAACTACGAATAAATGACATTAAATCAATATTGCATATGTTGAGTTTAATATTAATTCCATACTTTCACTTTATGAAACCTTTAAATGATAAATATCAACAGAAATTAAAAAATTTTTATTATTTATTATTTGCCATTGATTATAAACTTTGAAATCCGTTAATTTTTATACTAATTTTATATTCAATAATATGAAAAGTTTCTATTCTAATTAAACAATTAAATAGTCCTTTAACTACAATCACTAAGGTCTAGTTTCACAACTCATGGTTAACTCTTAATAGAGGTTCAACTTGTTTCTCATCTTTTTCCAATTCTAAAATTAGAAAAAGACAATGAGTAAGTTGAACCTCGGTTATGAGTTAACCATCAGTTGTGGAACTGGGCCTTATAATTCAATTTATAATTTTTTATGTGAATTATGACTGTAATCTTAACAATATAATTTCAAGAAAATGTTTTAATTTGGAATAAATTAACATTTTTTAATGAATAATATGTCGCAATAAGTATAATTAATTAAAATATTTTAGTATTATATAAAATTAATTAAAGAAACTTTTTTTACAACTTTAATCACAAATTTGTCAATATAATTTTATTTCATTTAAAAAGTCAAAATAGAGTTTAATATAACAAAAAAATTTTTAGAGAATTGTTCCTTTTTGTAAAACTTGAAAAATTATTCTTTATTCTATATGTGTACATGCATTATTATAAAATTTCATCGTAATATATATATATATATATATAAGTTTACCTATACCTTTTCTATAATGGGGTTCTGTAAAAAATTTAAATTCAATATCAAATGAAGTACTAACTTTTCTGTTGGTTCTTCACCTACATTTTCCGTTTTTTCTTCCATAGTATTTAAGATTTACGTACACTTTATACAAAACACGTTTCCAAGATACACTAACACTAATTTTTGTTTTATTGGTTATGAAATATGATTCTCAGGAATCGCAGGCAATATAACTTGATTTCGAATCGCATAATCCTTTTACACGATTTTCATTTGACTTGCTTTATTAATCGATGGCGGAAGAAGACAAGGGGTGCGTTCCTAGTTACGCATGAAACGCATGATGTATCGTTTATCTTTGTTGTTCATCAATTAATAAAGAAGGATAAAACGATACAGCATGCGCTTTATGTATAACTCGAAACGCACCCAAGATGTATCAGTGTGTATAAAGCCGTAATCACACTACAGACTCCCGACTCTGACTCGACTACCCTAACAACACAGACCTCCAAAGGACGTCCTGAGGATGTCCAAAGGACGTCCTTTGAACATCCTAAGGACATCCTCAGGATGTATCCCAGATAAAGTGTGATATTAGGGTATTGATTCGGACTCCTGACTATCATTCAACCAATCACAGCAAGGCAGCTGCCGACTGGAGAATAAAAATCACTCTATTTTCAGTCAGGCGATTCTGAGTCGTAGCAAATAAAATTGCGAGAAGTTTGGCCACGTGTCATATATCAGCGGATTTTTGAATGAAGGAATTTGAAACATATAAGAATTCAGTAATCTGTAATAATGAGTAAAAAAATCAATTGGACAAGGAATACCGAAGTCCAATTAATACAAGAATTGCGTGAAAGACCTATTTTGTGGGATATTTCTCATTCACAATATAACAGATCAGATTTAAAAGCTATTTATTGGGAAAAAGTGGCAGAAGCACTGGGTTCACAAATAACAATCCAATGGGGAGAAAATGTTTTTTAAACGTTTTTTAAACGTTTATTATTCATTAATTTTACATTTCACGATTTGTTTTCAAAATAATATTTACTTAATGTTTATTTAACGTTTTCTAAATGTTTATTTGTAATTAATTTTACGTTTTGTTTCATCTCCACACAAAATAACATTTTTTAAACGTTTATTTAATGTTAAATAAATGTTTATTTTACATCAATTATTCATTTAAAATGATGTTTGGAAGAAATATTTTTTAAACGTTTATTTAACATTTATTAAATGTAAATTTTACACTAATTTTTTATTTAAAATAATGTTTAGAAGTAACATTTTTTAAAGGTTTATTTTTCATTAATTTTACATATTTCACGGTTTGTTTTCAGGATAACGTTTTATTTAATGTTTATTAAATTACAGAAATTACCCAGTAAGCAAGAAACATTTTGAAACATTTCAGCAACGTTGTAGCAATGTTGTAACGTTGCTGAAATGTTTCAAAATATTTCTTACTTACTGGGCAAAGCCTTAAACGGTCTAGCTAGATCTTAAATGCTTGTATGATAGCAGTACTATCACGAGTTAAATTGACAAGCAATTTAATAAACTTTTGATGCTTATTAGCATCTTCGAAACGATCTTAATAATGTTGAATAACATATTAAAATCTGTAAATAATTAATTCTTATTGCGAAAAATATTATCTCGGCCAGGAGTTAAACCCGGATCTCTTGTATTCCGTGCGACTTTGTCCTAAGACTTTAGACTACCGAAGCCGAGATAATATTTTTATGCAGTCGTCAACATAGCAAGGTACAAATTCTTATGACATTATGTTGATGCCTACAGCTCGATTGCCTACATATGTCGGATCCGTGTGCAGACGGGTTTGTGCGCAATCAGGTCGGTGTGCAAACGGATCCGTGGGCAATCGGGTCGTGCGCAATCAGATCTGTGTGCAAACGGGTCCGTACGCAATCGGGTCCGTGCGCAATCGAGTCCGTGCGCAATCGGGTCCGTGCGCAATCGGGTCGGTGTGCAAACGGGTCCGTGTGCAATCGAGTCGTGAGCAATCGCGTTTGTGTGCAAAGAGGTCCGTGCGCAATTGGGTCCGTGTGCAATCGGGTCGTACGCAATCGGGTCCGTGCGCAATCGGATCAGTGTGCAAACGGGTCCGTATACAATTGGGTTGTGCGCAATTGGGTCTGTGCGCAATCGGGTCCGTGTCCGATTAGGAAATCCTTTCGTGTCCGATTGTTAATGTGCGCAATCGGGACGCTTACAGATGTTCTCGAATGTCGTATTTCGTCTTTGCGACATAGCCTACCCAATAGACAAGTCTATCGGAGAGTGGGTTTAGTCCTTAGCGTATCGCTACGAAAACCTTTCGTGTATTTACACGGTAATGCGTTTATTGTAGACTTTAATACCTGAAAAATGTAATAAAGACTCACAAAGCAATTGTTTTTTATTTAGTGCAATTCGTGAAACTTATAGGGAAAAGAAAACTTAACTGAAATATCACGTTAACTTCCTAGAGGCTTGCTGAATAATATATATTTACGCTTTCTCGCACTTCACGCCAAGATCTGTATATTGTAAGAATCCGTCTTGTAGATGTTTTCGCAGGATGATATTAATAAATGTTTTCTAAATATGTTGTCTTTCAATCCGATGTTGAGGGCGAATTAGCTTGAAGTTTGACTTTATGATAAATTCAATGTAAGCAATTGATCATAGAATAATAGTAAGGTTTATTTTAATAGATTAGTCTGAGGTACAAATTCTGCGACACACGTCCTTACGACTCGACGTCTTAACATTCAACTCACTCATTCGTCTTTTCCTAGTAACGAGTAAATAACGCGAACAGTGTGTTGCTAGGAATTCGCCGCCACGGTGTGAACTCAATCATTTTACAGATCTTTTACAGTTCGGCTAATCCTGAGATAGTGTGCGTCTCGAACACAATTTTTTTTTTAAAATACGCAAAGTGTATACAAAATTAACAAGTGTTTTGCAATTAAAATGATGGAAGAAAATACAATCAATAATATAAGTACATACATAAGATGAGAAATATACGAATACGCATAAGGGAAAATATAGTAACCTAGAATAAATTTAAATTGAAAGGACAATTTATAACCTTACAACTAATGTGCATGCGTGCGCGCGTGCATACGTGTGTGTGTGTGAAAAGAAGTTCAGTAATGAACATTTGTGTTAAACAGATTCTTAAAACGATGACAGATTAAGCATTTGCTCAAACATCATGATTATAATCAGGTAAGGCTTTAATCCATAATTTCATGTAATCTGGAGAGAGGTATCGAATTATATGATCTAGAGATTATGCTGGAACTAGAAATATCCTGTACCACATAATCAATTCTTATCCAAAACTTTAATCACCCTGAAGGGGCCTCTTTGAAATCAGGTTTTAATTTTTTACATTCTCCAGTTTTAACAGATGCATCCCTGATCATAACCAGATTGCCTGGTTTATAAGACAATGGTTTTTGATGGTGTTTATCATAATACAATTTGTTGTATGATTTAATTTTTTCTGCGACATTCAGAGCTAATTCTCTATTTTTTTCTCTTTCAAAGAGAAATCTTTTTCAATACCAGCAAACTGATTCAAAAATTTTACTAAGTCTGAATCTGTATTGTTTCGTTGGTCATATCCCAATAGTAATCTCGATGGAGAAGTTTTTAACACTGAATTTCGAGTATTGTTAAACACATATTGAACAGTTTTGGATGATCTGAAAACTCCAATTGCTCAGCCATTTCTTTGATTTTAGGATCTTGCAATTGTTTAATTTCTAACTCTCTCTCTCGAGGCAATGCTTCAACACGAACAGTTACTTCAGAATCAGAGATTCTACTGAGAGCGTCAACGTGTGCCATTCTTTGACCTGAACGATATAAAATCTTAAATCTGTAATTCTGAAGTCTTAAAGTCCATTTAGCAAGTCTTGGATTCAAATGTGCCTTATTTACAGCATTTAAAGCACAGTCTGTCATAACTGTGAATTCCGATCCATAGAGGAATATATGGAAACGTTCAACTGCCTTTACTACAGCTAACATCTCTAGCTTGAAACTGTGATATTTTATTTCAGCTGAGTTCGTGGCTTGGTTATAATAAGTAATGGGAGTCAATTTTCCAGATTCCTGTTTTTGAAAAAGAATGGCAGCTAAAACTAACGCACTCGCATCTGTATGTCTCTGCATAAGGATTATATAATTCAAGAATTGGATAAGAAGTCAATTCATTCTTGAAAGACTGAAAGGTTTCTAAGCAATCATTGTCAAAATTAAATGTGACTGACTTTCGCAAGAGATTATGCAAAGGTCGTGCCTTTACAGCATAATCTTTTATAAATTTACGAAAGAAGCTCGTAAGATCTAGGAAACGCTGAAACTTACATTTTTAGGCATTGGAAAGTCTTTGACAGCTTTAACATGACGATCACATAAGATAATTCCAGATGGTGAAAGAATATAATCTAAGTATTCGATTTTTTGTCTAAGAAAGTGACATTTCTTATAATTAAGTTTAAATTTATATTGTTTTAGCAACAGAAGCACCTCTTTCAATGTAGACAAATTTTCCTCGACTGATCCAGATGGCACCAAAACATCATCGATATAAATCAAAACCTTGTCCTCGCGTAAAAGAGGCTGAAAGATTTGAATCATTCTCTTTTGGAATTCAGCCGGCGCTTCACAATATCTAAAAAAGATAATTTGGTGTATTCGAACTGACCATCAGGGGTCGCAAAGGTAAAATATTTCGTATGATCCGGATGTACGTCTATATGATGAAAACCGTCTTTTAAATCTAGCAAAGAAAAAACTTTTTTATTGCCAAGTCGAGCAAAACAATTTTCCATTAATGAAGGAGGTATTTTTGTTTAACGACACGGTCATTCAACGGTTGCAAATCAACACATAGTCGCATCCGTTTTTCTTTATTACTGGTACTACTCTTGCACAATAAGGGGAGATACTTGGTTTAATAATACCTCTTTGCAAGAGATCGTCTATAATTTCTCGAATCTGATTTCTTTCAGACCATGCAAACGTCGAAGAGAATATGCATAAGTCGTGTTGTCTTTAAGAGACACTGTGACAGCATGACCATCCACAATTGGATTAATAGTTGCATACTCGACTTCACGAATCAATGATATAAGTTTTTCATCAACTGAAGGACCGAAATCAGATTCAAAAGTTGTTTCGTCGATTAAAGCAGGTGAGATAGATTG